ATTGTTAAATCTCTTTGTTTTGAAAATTACTATCAATAATAAATGGGGTCTTTATAAGAAGAATAAAATAAGAATTGCAAAGAATTGGATAAAACTCAAACATTATTAGTAGAAAGGTAGTATGCGAACGACGAGACTCCATAGATGATTACGATGTTTGGAAAATGGTAATACATTGGAAAAGATATATTGAAATACAATGACCACTATTCTCCCTAACAACATTGAATTCATGAGCAGCGACTTCTGTTGAAGTGTGGCGAGGATACAAGAAGTTTGTTCTTTCAATGATCAAGTCTTGTCTGGCGCAGTTACTTGCCAAGAAATCCCTAACTTTTTCCTAGGTTTCCCTTGCGGGTTTTCAACCTAGAGGGATAATTTATTCTGTTTATGTCTCTCATTTTTTCCTAGACCTCCCTTTCGGATTTTCAGCCTACTGAGACGCTCTTTTTTGCCTAAACCACCCTTTCAGGTTTTCGACTTAGTGAGCTGTTCTTTTATTTCTTTAGGAAAAGTATTTCTTGACTGCATCATCATTATAGGACGTGGGAACTCCTCGCCATCCATAGTTTCAAGAAATAACATTGAGAAGTGTCGGAGGCACATAAATTTTGTCAGCATAAATCTGGAATTTATGGCACTTCTTTGAAAATTTGTAACATTCAGATTCCATTGTCATCCAATAGTAACCTTCCCTAAGCATCTTTTTTGCCATCAAATGTCCATTGGCATGAGTGCCAAAGGAGCCTTCATGAATTTCATGCATAAACATGTCTGCTTCGTGTCTATCCACGCATCTGAGCAAGACCATGTCATAATTGCTTTGGTATAGCACATCTTCATTAAGGAAAAAGCTTCCTGCCAACCTTCTCCATGTCTTTCTATCTTTGTTTGACGCACCGGCCGGGTATTCCTGAGTCTGGAGAAAATACTTGATATCATAATACCAAGGTTTTTCTTCTGACGTCCCCTCTTCTGCAAACAAATTAGTTGGTCTATCCAGACATTGAACTGTGATACGAGGCACGTTGTTTCAAGTATTTACTTGGTACTTAGAAGCCAAAGTGGCCAAAGCATCCGCCATCTGATTTTCATCTTTGGGAATATGATAGAATTCAACTTTATAAAAGAAGGGTAATAATCTTCTAGCATAGTCTTTGTAGGGAATCAAGCCAGGGTGACGGGTATCTCATTTTATTTCAATATGATTTATTACCAAAGATGAATTTCCATATACATCTAGAATTTTGATTCTGAGATCTATAGCCTCCTCGAGACCCATGATACAAGCTTCATGTTCTGCCATGTTATTGGTACAATCAAATGCCAATCTTGTCGTAAAAGGGATATGTGATCCATGAGGAGTGATAATCATGGCACCGATTCCTTTCTGATAAGCATTAACAGCACCATCAAACACCATACCCCACCGGGATTTAGGATAAGGACCTTCCCCAGGCAAAGGTTCATCACAATCTTTTATTTTCAAAAACATCACATCCTCATCAGGGAAATCATATTTCACAAACTGATAATCATCAACCGGTTGGTGAGCAAGATAATCTACCAACACTCTTCTTTTTATATCCTTCTGAGTATGGTATTCAATATCATATTCAGATAACAACATCTGCCAATGGGAAATTCTTCCAGTAAGAGTAGGCTTTTCAAAAATATACTTAATCAGATCGATTTTGGAAATCAACCAAGTAGTATGATTCAACATATATTGCCGCAACCATTTTGCTGCCTAGGCCAAAGCACAACATGTTTTTTCCAGCATAGAATACCGCGACTCACATTCATTAAACTTCTTGCTGAGATAACAAATGGCATATTCTCTTCTCCCTATTTCATCTTGTTGTCCCAAAATACAGCCCATATAATTATCTAACACCATCAGATACATAATCATTGGTCTTCCTTCAACTGGAGTGAGAAAGATAGGAGGTTCAAGTAGATAATCTTTAATAATTTCAAATGCCCTTTAGAAATCATCTATCCACACACAACCTTGATCCTTCTTTAACAACTTAAAGATCGGCTCACATGTTGCAGTCATATGGGAAGTAAATCTGGAAATGTAATTCAACCGCCCAAGAAAGCCTCTAAATTGCTTTTCAGTTCTTGGCGTTGACATTTCTTGAATTGCCTTAACTTTATCAGGATCAACTTCAATCCCTTTCTGGCTGACAATGAAACCTAACAATTTTCCTGATCAGACACCAAAGGTGCATTTATTTGGATTCAAGCAGAGACAATACTTCTTCAAACACTGAAACAATTTCAACAAATCTTGTATATGCCCTTCTTTAGTCTGGGGTTTGGAAATCATATCATCAACATATACCTCAATTTCCTTGTGCGTCAGATCATGGAATAGGGTTGTCATAGCCCTCTGGTACTTTGCACTAGCGTTCTTCAACGCGAAGGGCATCTCTCTGTAATAGAATGTTCCCAGGGTGTGATAAACATTGTTTTTTTCATGTCCTCAGGAGCCATTCCGATTTGATTATATCCCGAAAATCCGTCCATGAACGAAAATACTTTGAATTTTGTTGTATTGTCAACCAACATGTCAATATGTGGCAATGAAAAGTCATCTTTTGGACTAGCTTTGTTTAAATATCTACAATCAACACACATGCGAACTTTTCCGTCTTTCTTTGGTACTGGGACAATATTAGCAATCCACTGAGGGTACACTGATGTCACAAGAAAATCGGCATTAATCTGCTTTAAAACTTATTCTTTAATTTTCACTTCCATATCATGGTGAGTTCTTCACATTTTCTGCTTGATTGGCTGGCATTCGTGCCTTAGCTGCAAATGATGTTCCACAATATCAGTATCCAAACTAGGCATGTTTTGTTATGACCAAGCAAATATGTCCACATACTCTTTTAACAATTCAATTAACCTGCTTTTCACGTCAGAATGAAGCAATTCTCCAATCTTTACTTCTTTCAGATCTTCTTCTGAACCCAAATTAACCGTCTCTAACGGCTCTTTATATGGCTGAATGGTACTTTCCTCATGCTCAAGCAACCGTGAAACCTCTTTTGGGATTTCATCATATTCCTCCTCTTCGGCCACATACGCAGAATATTCAAAGTTGGGAGAGGGTGCAGGGTCATTGTACTCAACGAGTTTTTTAATTAATCTACACATATTACTTATGATTACTTTTAGAAACTGACACATGTAGCAAGTGATTATGCAGATTCAATTACAATTATTATTTATTTTGAAAGGATTTTTCTGATTACCATTTTCCAAGAAAAATCAGAAAATAAAGACACAATTTGGGAATCAAAGACAAATTTTATTAATGATTTCAAATATCAAAACAACAGATATGCCCATACAATATCAATACTTTCACCTTGGGCAGAGTGAAAGATTTTTGAAAATATTAACAAGTTGTACCCCAATTTTTGACCTAAGATCCCATTTTTATTTTTTGCATTTTTATACAAAAGTCAAGGTCACGAAATACGGTCGGTTTTAACCTCTCACCTTCGAGCTTTGACTATGCGAAGATTGTCAAGTGTTTTGAACATTTTTAGCCTATGTATCACTAATTTCTAATCGCATACAAAGGTGTATGCTCATGTTTTCTTTTGCTTCATGTGCAGAGACAGGTCTGAATCAAGAGCATCAGGTGTCGCGCCTCAATTAAGGTTTTGAGTCTCTCAAGCCAGAAGTACGGTTGATTGTGGATTCTCGAAGACTGATTCATCAAGGCACACTGTTGCATCCTTAATTTCGCCCCTAATTTCTTCAGTCGCACATTCATACCATATTTTGTCATTTGGTCACAATCATTAGTAAATATCTTCATTCATCATATTTTGCATCATTAGTCGTATTTAAGTTTAATAATAAAAATATTTTGGTTTTATAGACAAACTGTTAAAAGCAATTCAACAATGTGCGAAAAGATAGCGAGAAAAATATTTCAAGTTTTCACCTCTTACCGATCATTTTATGAATCTGCATGACGCGTAGATTAGGACGGTATGCTCACTTTATTTTTTCGGTATAGTTTGAAGTCTCGTTTTTAACCGTAAATGTCCGTATTAGCCTGATATTTTATCATTTTATTTTTGACTTCTTGAATATTTTTTCTTTAATCTTTATGACATGTAGATTATTTTAATGTGTTCATTTTATTTTTTCGGATAAATTTTCGTCCGTTTTTTATCATTTTTGGTCATTTTGGGTCTTTATATTTTATTCATAAAATATTCAAAAAAATCATGTTAAATTGAGTTAATTTTAATGCATTTAGTTTTTGGTAATTTTTATCATTTAAGGGCTTTTTGGTCATAAAAAATTATTTGTTAAACTGTGCTTTATTCTGATTGGTTGTTAGAGAGAGTAATGGATCGATCCAGAAATAGCAAATGAATTGCAAAACAGAAGTTAAATTTCCTCTTGATCTGTCTATATAAACACTTCTTTCTTTTCTTTGTTAATGGGGGGAAACACAAAAAAAAAAAAAAACAATACAACAAGAGCAACTAACAGTAATCCACACTTCTCTCTCTCAACCTTGTATCTCTCCCATGCCTATCTCCCTTCCTTCTACCGTTCCAATCCCATACCACAACTTCCTCACCAACCAAAACTCCATTGTCTAACATTTCACCAACTATACCACCACCTATTCCAAGTGAATCTGTTCTGAACTTCACCAGCATCATTTTCACATCAACTCCCTCTCATATGCTATTTCTCCACCCTTGTTTTCCCTTCCACCCTCAATACTCTTTTCCTCTTTGTTCAACAACACAATCAAACGCGTACCACACTCACACAATCGCCCTTCTTCCTCTTTCTGTCACCGTCCCAAACCCTTCTTTCTCCCACTTCCTTGCCCTGGATTCTCGCCGTTCCTCTTGGTTACACTGCTCTTACTTTTGTTATTGCGTTTCTTAAAACCGTTAGGAACTTCGCTTCTCCCAAAGCACAGCGCAGGAAATTGGTTGGTAAAAATGCGTTGTTGTGTAAGTCGGTGGATGAGTTGTTGCAAAGAGGAAGAGATGAAGTCAAGGTTGATGATCTCAAAGGAATTGAAAATAAGACAGGTTTTGGCTTGGAATAAATTTTGCGCAAATATATTCGATATGCTCTGAACGAGAAACCATTCAATCCTGATGTTGTAGCTGATTTAATTCAGCTAAGAAGAGCTTCTGCATTAAATGACTCACAAGTTGCTGAGATTCTAAATGAAATTTCACGAAGAATTGTGAGAGACAAAGGTCCTATTGTAATGAATAAATCAGGTTATACTGAAAAGGGTTTCAAGAGAAAACTAGCTGTTCAAGCTCTTTTTGGAAAGGTCTTCTATCTATCTGAGCTGCCTGAGTTCTGTTCAAGAGATAGCTCCTTAGTTGTTAAGGAAATCTTCGGAGTAACAGATGAAGATGCAGATCAACTCAGATTACACACAACTTCAGAAGCCGGCAACCTAGATTCTCTTGAGAAGATGGTTGATAGTTCAGATTCAGAAGATTCTAGTGAGGTTTAATAATGCTTGATGCAAATATGCCTCAGGGTTTTGAATTCACAGAGGCCGAGGAATTGGTTATGCAAACAATCTTCTCATGACTTGGTGCTGCAAATTCTAGATCACCATCATCAACATCTCCACCTAACCTCCATCAAATACAATTCCTCTGCCGCTATTAAATTGTAACCCTATTTCTTCTATTTTCTTAAACATTTTTTTCTGTCAAAGTTGCAAAATTTTCTTTCCAGGTCAGAATAGTAGCGCTCTGTATTATACGTTTGGGGGCCCACAAATCAGGTCTCAAGATCAAGGTATATAGTTTTTAGGGCATTAGGATATTAGTGTTTTTTTTTAGAAGCTGAAGGCAGTTCGATGAGGCATAGATTTGGAAAATAGTATTATCAATGAAGCAGTTGAGCTAGCACTGCTACTTGTAGTGGCTTGATGCTGAGGGCGGTATGCCGGTTATAGTTGGGGGGAAATGAAAAGGTATCATGCTGGCAGCTGCACTAGTGCAGTTAATAACAGTTCAATTGGTGGCCCATCGGCTAGGGACCTTGGGAGAATTGATTCATCTTCCTTGCCAACCAACTTTCCTGTAAGTTCAAGGCAACAACACTTTTTTTTAGACTCATTTTCCTTTCTAATTAATATTTTGAATTGAAATTAATGTGATGTGTTTCTTTAGTTGAATTGTAGAGTTTTTGAAACAATTGTGTTAAAATGGGTATTGTTGACATTTTTAGTTTTTTTTGTTGTCAATTTTGGAGAATTTAAATTTAGTTTTAATAATTAATTTGTTCCTCATTAGTTCAGAATTTTTTTCAATTGGAACTATGGAGTTTAATGCATAGATATAGTGGTTGTCCAAAATTTGGTTTAATTGAATAATTCTTGAATTGGAATCAATTTTCCGTGTTCGATTTTGAATTGAATAATTTCATGAATTCTTGATTTTGATTTGTGTAAATATTCATTTATTCACGTGTATTCATACAATTTTATTTTTGATTTTATACTCATTAACACATATTTTAATTGTTGCAATTTCGTTTCATTTTAATTTGTATACCGCTTATGCTACTAACAAATTTGCTTACTGTGAAGGTTTTCGAGAGCAATTTCAAGCGTTCGTTCCCGCGTAGCACATTTATAATTTTTCTTTATTCCTTTTTTACCTTACTATTTTGATTTAATATTTGGTACTGTAAATACATATTTGTACATAATATTTTGACTGTATATTTTACTTGTAAATAAATTCAGGTTTTGAAAATATTATTTTCATCGCATTATGATTTTATTTTTAATTCCAACTAACTTCTGAAAATTGTGCGGACGCACATAAGTTTCCTGTGCTATTAGATTTTGTCGGTATATCTCTTGTGATGCAGGGATTCTTATCTGACACTGTGAGCTTTATCCACCGCCTTTGCGCTTTATCTGATGCTCGGAGTATTATCTCACATTAGGTTTTTTGATGATGCTGTCGGCTTGTGATTTATTTTCACATAAGGTTTGATATACTCTTAGCTTATTTATCCGTCTAGGGTTTTAAATCCAAGGGAAATGTTTTAAATTTGTTGACTTCATGTCATCGAACATATCTCATACAATCGTGCGAATACCCTCATTCATTTTTTGCTTATTTATTATTTTTCCAAACTTAAGATAATTTTCCCAAAAGACTCCATTTTCAAACTCACACCTTTTAAGTCAAAACTTCGACACTAGGTCGTCGTATCTTCAAAATCTCTCCAACACCGATTTTTAGTCAAACGAACCATTTTAATCAAACAAACAATTTTAAACCAAAAAACAGATATTTCAAAAGGTTCCTGCGGAGTACCGCAGATGCATTGGGTGCTAATACCTTCCCATTGTATAACCAACCTCCGAACTCTCAATCTCTTTTAAAAACGCATTGTATTTTCATTACTTTTAAATATTACTTTACATTGCATATTTTAGGGTTTTATTTCGCTCTTTTCCCTTTTCCCTTGGAAATAATAAAGCGCGGTGGCGACTCTTGCTTTTGCGAGTCAAGTTAATTAATAGCTTGATCTCCGATTTTCACCACTACAGAATTGGCGACTCTGCTGGGGATAGATTGACCTCTTGCTGGTCCATCCCTAAGTGGGTTAAGCCTAATTTGTTTTATCTGTTTTATCATTATTTGATTGTTTGATTATATGTATATATTGTGATTATTTGGGTGTTGATAATATTTACAAAGGACAAGTCCTATACCCGGACTAAGTTACACTTAGGAATAGGACGGGCGATATAGTCATGTTAACTTTGAGGGAGTAATCCCGAAGAAGGAGGCATGAGATCCCCCACTCAGTGGAAGGCCCTTTTGAACGTAATATTTGTTTACCGAGTAATCGGGAAGACATTATTATTTTCGACTTGGGAGCCAGAGAAGCTGGGAACCGTAGAACCCTAACCCATCTTGGCCTTTTAGGTGTAGCGCGGAGATTATAACGGAGTAATCCGGAAGTAATTGTTACGCGATGCTACGCTCGGATGAGTTTCTCTTGAGAATATTGCTGATTATTGAGTAATCAAGACGTTGGTAATATCCGAAGGAGGAATGTAGACTCCGGGAACTCTTAGAACCTTGTTCTACAGGTGTGATTAAACCGTTAGTACATACCTTGAGGGTGTTCCTTACCTTGACTCCATGCTCGTGACGTTGAACCTTTCGACTTTATTTGTGACCTTGCTTGTGGTTGTTGCATAGCCATGCATTCATGCATCCATAAAACCCTTTTCACTTGACTTTGAAGGAATTTGTAGGTCTTTCTTTGTAAACATCACAAGTTTTGTCAAGCTCAATGGATCTTGGGTGTTGATAGGGCGAAAACCCTAATCCACCAAAATGGATGATTGATCTTGATGATAACTTGATCAATGTTTGGAGCCAATTTAAAATTCATCTTCTATCTTCATACTTTGATGTTTACAACTTAATATCTTGAGTTCCTTGAAAATCAAATAAAAACTCTCTTTTGCATATCATACATCATTCTACATTTTTTGTTTCACTGTCAAAGGTCTTTTTCCGAGTCTTATTTTTCCTTTGGTCTCACTAGTACAACACTCGCGCTAAGAGAACAATGGAGAAAGAGATTTCTGAACTCCGCAGATAGGTGACTAATTTGAAAGCTGGTATGGATCACTCAACTGTTTTGGTTGAAATTTTGGTTGCCTCCCAAGTCAATCCTTCTAGGAGGAAGGAAGCGATGATAAAAGTATTCACTGAAACTCTAAAATCATTCTCTCATGAGAAGGTGAGGGTTAATGCACCTAATGACTTTCCTGACAAGGTGAATGTGGGAGTGCATTTAGAAGAAGATGTCGGAAAGGGATGTTTATATGAAGATGGTAGCTCAACTAATGGTGTGAAGAAGTTTGATAACAACTTTTCCAAGAAGAGAACCAGAGGAAGAAATAATCATTGTTAGAATCATCATGTTTCTCCTATTCATCAACAGAATCAGCAAGTTCCTAATCAGAGGAAAACCCAGTTTGATCCAATTCCAATTACCTATACAGAGTTGTTCCCTATCCTGATGCGGAGGAATTTGGTTCAGACCTGACCTCCACCGAAGGTTCCTGAGAAGATACATTGGTACTACAAAGCTGATTTGGCTTGTACCTTTCATCAAGGTGCTCCTGGGCATGACTTGGAGGGTTGCTTTGCTTTGAAGATTGAAGTTCAGAAGTTGGTTAGAAGTGGTATCTTGTCATTCAAGGACGTTGGTTTTGAGGTTCAAATCAAGCACGTGCCGAAGAGTAAACACGATTGATGGTCACTTTGAGTTTTGAAGGATGTTTTTGGTGATTCAAGTCCATATGGAAATCCTTCCCCGATCATTAACTTATTTCTGCTTTTTGTAATTTTTCTTGTTTATCAAAACATTGTTTGCATGTAAGAACTTGTTTGCATCTGAATGATTATCTTAATACAATGAGTATGTTTGTCTTGAAGAAATTCATTCGTTTCACTCATGTTTGTTTTTAAATTTTAAATTGCTTTTTGCACTATGATACCAAATTGTTGCTCGTTCTCTTGCCTAGGCAGAGATTGAAGGGAGGATGATAATCTAAAGAACACAAAAATCTCTGATTGTTTGCTTTTGGATAAAATCTTGTTGATGATGTACATGCATTGTTTCTAATCCCTAAACACCGGAGATATAAGGAAGATAATCCCTTGCTAACCCCTTTTGAGCCTTGAAGTAGAAGTTTCTTTTCTATATGAAAAAACCCTCAACTTTTAACCTGGGGCAGGGTAGTTTTCAGTTAATCTGATTGAGTGTTCAAAACTCATAAGGAAAATGTTTTTTGAAGAGAAACTACGAGGGCTATCCTTCATGTATAATGAATCTAGAGGATGTGGAACCATAATGTTAACCCTCATTCATCAAGAAACGAGGCAATCACAATCCTCTCAACAAACAAAGACAAGCTAATGTCACACATTTTGTTCAAAAAGTCAAAAATCGAGAAAAAGAAAAAGCCTGCTAAGTCAAAAAACATGAAAACGTGTGACTTAGGAAAAATTAAGGCATCTCGCTGGACTATCAATTCAAAAGAATTAGTTCAGGCAAAAGTTAGGGAAAATAAAAATGGCAAAGAAAAGGACTGCAAAGAAAAGTCCTCAGCAAAGCACAAATTGGTGACTACAAATACGAAGACATGAGGGTGGTTTCTATTTCGAAAGCCTCGTCGTTTCCTTGACCGTCACAAAATCCTTTTGAGAGATGAACACTCATGTCGAATTAACTGAACATAGGGTTGGAGAACATCATGAAGAATGGGTGGCACCAAATATTTTGAGCCTTAAAATCTTTTTTCTAAAAACCGTGAACCAGACCACGTTACAACCTTCAAAAGTCCTAATTGAAGCAAGATTATTTTGAAAGCATACTTCAATGAGATAGTGTTCCTGACTCCCATGAATGTTCTAAATAGTTATGTTAGTATCATATGTTTTTCCTATACAAAAA